AATATCTTAACCTTGCAATTTAACAGTCGTAGTTCTCTTGCTAATTATTTTTTTCTCTTATAATGTCTTACATTGAAGACACATTTTTAAGGTCAAAATGTTTAATTTCGTATTTGATAAAGCAACGTTTCCGTGTACAAAGAACCCAAAATCAATTGGGTAATATTTCATTCTTTTTTATGGTTTAACATAAAATTTAAGCGAAAAAATTTCATATTTTGTCAGGTAATATGAAGGTTTCTAGTAGACTTTCAGAGACGTAACAATGCCTAACAAGAGCGATCAGTGATCACATGTGTCGCCTCTTGATGGCCAATTTCATGTTGGGACAAGTTTTGTGACAGACGGACAGACACAACTAGACTTGGTACTGATCATTCCTGTAAAGTTTGGATAAAATTGCATCAGTAGTTTATGAGGAGTAGTCCGGACAAGCTTTTGTATCTGGCAACACACAGAAAAAAAACAACTTTTTATCAAAGGGCCATAACTCAGCCAAAAATCATTCAATCTGAAAACCCGTGCAATATGCATAAGGACTTGAGCTACAGATCAATCCTGTAAAGTTTCATTGAAATTGCATTAGTGGTATAAGAGAAGTAGTCCGGACAAACTTTAAAATAAAATTTAATAAAGGACCATAACTCTGACAAAAATCATTGACCGGAAAATGCTGACAATATACACAATTAGACTTGTACTGATCATTCCTGTATAGTTTGGCATGGATGGAATTGCACCAGTAGTTTATGAGGAGTAGTCCGGACAAGTTTTGTGACAGACGGACAGACAGACGACGGAGAAGTGATCCCTATTTGTCGCCACTACTCCAAAGAGGCGACACAAAAACGATCGTTTGCACATTTTGTCGGAAACTGAGAGGGTCAAGCCCAAAGCCATGGTAGGGATCGGTAGGTGACAAATGTATGCGACCACATTTGTCAAACCAACACAATCTATTTGCCACTCTGTTTGAGTTTGTGTGTCTGTAGTATACACTGTATCCACAAAGGGAGTCTCGTGACGTCTAGAACCATACACATTAAATATTGCTACCAATTTCTCAGAAGTTAACAAATATATGGTCTTTTACTGACAAATACTGTCCAAATGCATAAATTCATTATATAACAGACGCTACAAAAGATGAATAAATATTGTACTTTAAATATAAATGGGCAGGAATAAAGTGCAATCCTGAATCAAGAGGACTATAGATTCTCTCGTTCTGTTTTCACAGAAACATTCCAAAAGATTAACCCAAAACTAACTCTAAAATAGTTTTACATTGGGTTTTCAAATTATACCTTTTTCCATCACTTCTAGAGCTAAGTTAAGCCTTGTAAGGCTATAAATGATGATTGTTTTCTTGCACTACTTTTTTACAAAAAATAATGGAGGCCATTGTGCTTAGAAGGACTGAAGAGGTTTTTAAAATTGGGGGTTAAAGTTTTGAAAGTTTTTTGAAAATTTTGCTGAAAAAAAATACCCTTTTGTAGGCACTAAAACAGATTTTAAAAAAAGGTTTTGTCTTTTCATGAAATGTGCTTAAAATTTTGGGAAAACAGAATTTTTTTTGGTTTTTTCAAAAAATGAAAGCACTTTCCCAAAGTTAATATTTTTTCCCTTTATTATCTTTTAAAATTTGTGTTTAAATTTTGTCCTTAAATATAAACCTGGAATTTTGTACTTTTTAATGGTTCATCATTTTTAAAATTTTAAGAGCTTTTTTTGTTTTTAAAAAATTTTTTGGGCCCCAAAATTTTCCATTTTTTGACAGACTTTAGTAAAAAACAAAGGGCCCTGACAAAGCAAAATTCACCTTAAAATGAGGTTTTCTTGAAAAACTTTTTTAAAATAAAAAATTTTCCCTTTTTCTTTTGCATTTTAGTTGTATTTTAAATGATGCGAACCAATTAAAAAATTTTTTTTTTAAAAAATTTTCAATTTTTTTAAAATAAAAACCCTTTTTCCTTTTTTTGTTTGGGGAAATTAAAATTTTCCCCATGAAAAAATTTTGGTTTTAGGGGTTTATTTTCCCCTCTCAAAAAAAGGGAAAAAAAAAAATGCCAAAAAAGGAACCCCCCAACCGCTAATTAAAAAATTTTCCCCCCCCCCCCCTCCAAAAATTTTACCAAAAAATAATGGGTAAAAAATACCCCCAATTGGGTCTCCAAACCCCCCTTAAACGGACCCCTTCCCCCGGTTCCCCCTGGCCCGGGAAAGGGGAATAAGACCACTTTTACCGGAAACCCCCCCTTTTAAAGTGGGTCCCCCAATAGCGAGCCCCTTTAAACTGAAAAAAATAATACATGAAAAATTTGTTTTATGCACATGAAATTAAAACATGACATATCTTAATTGTAGGTTTATTTTACAATATGTAATATGTGAGTATTATGTAATAAAACAATTAACTTTAGCAACAGTGCGTGTTGTTTTTGTAAATTGAAAAAAAAAGAATAATTACTATGAAATGTCATTATACTACATTTCGAAGAACCAAATGATGTTACTTACTTACTTACTTACTTACTTACTTACTTACATACTTACTGACTTACTGACTTGCCTACTTGCCTACTTGCTTACTTGCTTGCTTGCTTACTTACTTACTTTACTTTACTTTACTTTACTTTACTACTTTACTTTACTTTACTTTACTTTACTTTACTTTACTTTACTTTACTTACTTACTTACTTACTTACTCAACTTACTTACAGAGCTTACTTACCCTACCCTATCCTATGCATTATGTCCAGAAAAACAAGCAAAACAAAAATTACACCGGTTACAGCACAGTCTTTTTTATATTTTGAGCTGTGTGTATAAAAAACAATTTTAACACGACCCGCATTTTTCACTATTGAATATAGAAGAACCAAAAGTGTGTGTTATTATGCATTAGTGTCCAGCTTTATCTGTCATCCAATATAAACCCTTTATTTCTTAAACATTATGTGTGTTAATTTTCATAGAAGAAAAAAGTCGATACTATATTGAAATCCGTTCATAGTCGCCTTCTATTTTTCATAGTGCTTCATAGTACCGCGTAGTGACGTAATCAAGGGCCAAATAAAGCTTGACACTAAATATGTTAGTGTTCATCCTTAGCTGTTCTACAGAAATTAGAAACATTCTCCTGTCGCTATCGCTCCCGTCGAAGTTTCTTATTTCTGTAGAACAGCACGGATGAACACTAACATATACATAGAGTCACAGTTGACGTTCTATATTTAGATATGTGACATAATCATTATACATGTGACGTAACCATTAAAAGAATCCGACGCGCTTAAAATAAATACGGAAACACATCAGACGCAATTTTGCTTAATATCAGGTACGGCAGGATTTATTTGTTGATGTCGTGTTAGAATCGAAATAATATATCCAAATCGGTGATTTTATCGCTTGATAACGTTCGGGTGCGCATCTTTAAATCACTCAGGCCACGCCCTCGTGATATATTTCGTCGCATCCGAACTCCAAACAGTGATGTTATTGAGCGATAAAATCACTGTTTGGGATATATTATTTCTTAAACAAAACAAAGAAAGTGACGTAGCATGATTGAGCGTTGCCTGGCGTGACGATATTGACCATGTATTGCGGTATTCCTAGCTCCGTGAGGTCGATATGTTCTTCAGTTATTTTTTCACAACTTTCGATTGTCATTCTGTATTTGTCATTCATATAGTTTTTCCAAGCCTAAAATCGAAATATCCCTGAGTGTGTACCCCGTTTGTGTAAAATGCGCCGTTACCGGAATGTTGTTCTTGATGAGTTTACAAAAATATATTTTATACATGTATAAAATACATGTATACTATATATCATAAACATTTGTAATTAGATCTACTAGATGTTGGTCAACTACCATGTAAACAGTAAATCTTTTGAAATATATAGCTAATTCCCCTCGACTTGGGCGTGGACGGTAACTTGCACTTTCCAGTACCGTCCATGAACAGGCTCAATCAAACCGAGCCCGCAACATTTTCAATTTTGCCGTGTTGGGCTTTCTTTAGGGATTCTGTTTTTATCTATTTTTGACATGGAGAAAAAATTAACTTTTACATTTGTTTCTACAAGAAAAGAACAAATGAATTTCAAAGCCTACATTAATCTGTACTGCAAAAGAATAATCGATCAAAAAGAGGGAAACAATTCAGATATAATAAAGATATTGTGGATGACGAACGACTTAACCACAGACCATAAAAAACACACCTCTGGGCATTTTGTATTAATCTGAGCTAAAGCAGCAAGTTTATTTCATTTAGAACAATTTTGTCAGCAGCAGATCAATGTCATATTAAAGGGAATAAGACAGACAGTATCTGTAATCAGATAAAATTTCACTTAAAACAACAGAACACTTATATAAATAGACTTAGTAGCATGCTTGCATACAATTTATTTCAGTCTTTAAATTCCTATCAACGCTTTTATATTGGCCATCATTCTTAACCAATTAAAAAAGTAAATGCATTTTTTTAACGCATTCCTCGATTTGTTTCTGGTTATCGCATATTAGTACTGAGATGAAATATATTGGCTAGAATAAGTATGGTATGTAGAACGAACTCTTTATTTTCACCACTTATGTTTCAGGAGAAAGGATAACACCTAAGATCAACAATTCTTGTGTTTTCGTACTACAAGAATGAATATCACAGATTAAGTCATTTCGAGTACAATATGGAACTGATATGGACATTTTGGACTAGGGAAATGAAACCGAGTATAAAATGGGACTGATTTGGCTTCGATTTGGACTTTGAAAATAAAAAGGAGGCTAGATGGAGTACAATAAGCATTTGGTGCAGATTTTTGGACTCGAGAAAATGAATGGATGATTTTATAATATCATATGGTGCCAAAAAAAGGAGCTTCAATGATTATATTTCATAAGGTGATGAGTACAAAGAAATACGTAATAGTTATATGACATAAAAACAACTGATGTCATGTGATAAAATGTTATATGACTTACTTTGTTTAGAATCAATATATTGTTCTTCTTTCTCGTCTTTACTTGCTATCTTCAGTTTTATTTGTAGCGTCTCTGATAATTCAGCCAGGTCTTTTCGTTCCCTATCACCTTGTTTATGAACTTGATCAACATCTTTGTCACGTTCATCATTCAGTCTTTTCACTCCGTCGGCAATTTGGGACTCAAGAGATTGAACATCTTCTTGTTTTATTTTAATCATATCAAGTTTTATTCTGTCATATTGCTCATCTAATCCAGCCTTCATCTTGTCTTGAATTGCTTTTGCCACATCGTCAAGTACTTTCCTTATGGCATCTTTACCAATGACAAGTGTGTCATTTTCTAACTGTAATTATAAAGACCATAAGATATACAATATAAATCAATATATTAGTACATCAGAATTTTATATCTGATAATCATAAAGTGTACATTTTAAAGATATATTGTATCTACAGTATATATTTGTAACAAGTACATGTGAAATGTTTGCAGTCACTGATTTATAAATTTTATGCTGATCAAAATTATGATAGAAAATAATGTATAAAACAAACCTTTGCCAATTATAGTAAACAAAATAAGTGTCTGTTCCTGCGTGACGTATAAATTTAGTCACAAGGGCGTAACCCTGTTTGTTTACAAATAAAAAGTTTTCAAAATTAGTAACAATCTTCAGCATAGAACAATTATTGTTCTGTATTTAATTGAATATCCTGACTTTATTTTGGATCTTTCGGTGGGCATTTTGAAGAATCCTACTAGGGTATAAAGTTTCATTTATGAAAACAGTGTTTGTATATTTCCTTACGAGCCATTGCAAAACGGACAACATTTAATAACAGCAAACCGTTTTGTTCCGGAACAATTTAATTTATTACCCCTCACTTTTTTCAAAAAAGCATGCAACAAAGGATTATTTTAACAATTTTAACCATTGAAACGTTACAGATAGAGTTGGTGGACAGACATCTGTAGGATATCATCGTTAATTTGTAAATGCACTTTGTCAAAAAACCATGCGAAGAATATTCTGGATACAGAAGGATAAGATTTCACAGATCATAACCTTATAAATGGGTTAGTGTTTTGTTTTCTAAAACAAACAGCTTATTGTATGTTTATGACTGGTAGATATCGTCACTTTGCTTAAAGAATAAAATGAAAACAAGCTTCTCAAGTAGGCCTACAGGTACAACTTAAAACCTTAAAAAGGTATTGGACAGGTTTAGTTCGTTGCTTCTGCTCTATTGGTTTATTTTTTTTTTCAGTTTGAGTTTTACAACATTCAGATCATCACAGTAGTTTGTTCGGGTAATAAAGATAAATAACACATGGGTTATTGTGGGTAACAGTGAAAAAATCCACTCCCTCGTAAAAATACCTGTTTACCTCGGCTACGCTCGGGTAAGAGTCTTTTCCTCGGGATGATAATTTTTTACGTGTTACCCGAATACCTGTGTTTATTTATATAGATGGTTTATTATTTTTATTATACAGCTATAATTTTTTTATTCGATGTGCCAGCGATTCTTATGTTAAAGCTTTTTGAGAATCGTTCATAACTTAAGAGAAACAGAATTTTTCCATTACAACATAGTTTGTTCAAAATGTTATTTAATAAGAATTATACACTTTGTGTAGATTACACACGAAATACACTGTGATCTTGTCATACGAAGAAATATTTAACGTATTAAAATGTTAAAATAGTTTAATCACCTGTGTGAGTTTCTGCTTCAGCATCTGTGCCATTCGTGTCCTGGTTGCTAAATTTTACAACAGGATAAGCAAGTTAGTTGTGGTAGATAGGATTGAAAAGTTAATTACTGAAGAATATCTGAATCTCTCTGACCTTCCAGTTTGATGAATGTCCACTTTGTCTGTTCAGTTCTCTTGCTGGTCAAAGATAGAATATAAAGTCTTCTGTAATTCTGTTTTTTGTTCTCTCAACAATTTGAAGGGTCAAACTATATCAAGTAATGAATACTTATCTAAGTTAAAAACATATCACTACATTAGTTAGGCCGTTAGTATCTGCATTTGTCAAGCACAAGGAAAAATATAGTTATACATATTGCACTTAAATTATCCTTGTCCATGATTCACACTTGACATGGTAAATTAAACTTTTGAAATGGTTAAATTTTAAAAGTTTGACTTTTCTTGAGTGTGTTTTTTGGCTCAGTCGTTATAAGGTGATTTAAACTCAAGCAATGAGTGTTCATTGACATTTCACTTTGCTTTTAAAGACGAATCTGATGATAAATTTTTCCTGTCCCTGTGAGATAAGCAAGTCATTTTAAAGACAATCGTGTCAAATTAAACTCAGCATACTGTTAAATTAAATATTAAACAATTCAGTCCCTTATGATATATTTTTTCAGAAAGCCAATTTAATTACAGATATCATCCTCTTAGTGTTAAATTCGCTTAGAATCATTAAAAATATTATCTTTTGTTTATTACATACGTTTCAATATTTCTATATAGTATCGAAATATTTTGTTTTACTATCTCTTCAAATGATATGTTATCTTAATTTATTGAGTGTTTGCTCATGGGACTTTCCTGAAGTCTTTTGTGATTAAGGATAGTGAAGCTTGATCTAGTTACCTCATTGTACAGTTGTTCCGATGGCAGATGCCTTTTCATTTATACCCATTTCTGGGGGCGATTGAAGCATGTTCGCTACTTCCCAAGAATACTGCAACCAACTGGGTTATCCAATCAGTGTTTTCTGTACGACGGACCGGTGTATCATATGTGCATGTCTGTAATTTACAGTTTTGGAGTTCATGACGATATCCTTGTTAGGACATGTCACAGTGAGGAATTGTATCGTGTTGCCACATTAGTTTCGATGAAGTACTGTAACTGTTTCACGCCTGAACTATGACATATTTTGTCAGAGGGCAATCTATCAACATTTTCAGTGCACAACTTGAACAAAAAAACAAGTTTCCCACTAAATAAGCCATTCACGTAGCAAATATACATGTAAAACATTTCAATTGAACATCGTTGAATTTCATTACAAACAAAAGGATTTCAACTCCTTCTTTAGTAATCAACGTAAAATCAGCTAACTGACGCCTTTAAGACCGCAGTTTTATTGTATTTCTTTTCTAACCTTTAGGGCCTATTAATTGCAGCCATTAATGTGCCAAAACGTTGGGTCGTTGTCCCATGAAAGCATTATAATTATACATTTGGCACGCTCTTATAATGGCTCGGAAAAACTGAAAAAGAATATGTACAATCTGTTAGAGCATTATCTATAAGTTACATGTACATAACAATAACTTCCAAAACAATTTGCATGCAGATTTCAAAAATTTGCGAAACAAAAAAAAAGAAAGGAAAAAAAAAGGGGCCTTTTTTTTACGCTAAGGGATTTTTATTCATAACAGTCATGTACTTAATTTAGTAATGATAAATCAAGTATTGCTTTCTATTAAATTTTAAAAATGGCAATGCTTGCTTCTTTTTCTTTGCCTGTTCATTCTTTAAAAATGAAAATGGAGAGATTTCGATGCGTGAATTATTCCAATACCATCAATCGTTTAAGTTAGACATTTTGAACATTAATTTCAACTCTATAATAACATAAGAAAATACCTAAATGTTCAAGAGCTTTGATATAATTATCATTGGTAAAGAATCCCTGTATTATGTAAGCTACAAAACTGTTAAAACTTTAAGCATTTGTCATAGTTGGGTTTTACATTTTTAAAATTATAAAATTGTTTAAGTGAATACTGTGTTATCTAACTTTATATTATTCTCAAAGTAATTTTCAAGACAATATTAGATTATCATTTTATTTTGCCACTGCCGACAATCAAACCTCGTCAAAAATTTCGGGGTGATGAGACAATTTGTTTTTCACACTGAGCAAACAATACTTATCTTTTGAATATGCAAGCTAAGTTGTTTCTCAATAAAACCCCAAACAAGAAACAATCGGTATAATCTGATCTATAGTCATATTTTTTATATGTCCAAAGGAATAAGGTGCTATAAAACAGTCTCTGTGTTTACATGTTTAGATCTACTTTTAAATTTCAACATAAAATTGAATGCACATTTATATTCTTTGAAAGGTAAATTATTCTATATATGCTGAAAAACAACGGAATACACAATTTTTGACTTTTTTTTTTTACGTGTAAAATCTGCTCTCCCATTGACATTTATTAACATCTTGATTCTTTTAAATTTATTTATCTATTTTTCCTTTGAGCTTAATAAGAAAAATAAAAAAATGTCAAAATAAACAACAATTTTTCACCCAAATTAGGTGTACGGGCACGTGTTAACATTGGAAAACTAGTTTTTGGTAATTCCAAGGTTTTTCATATTTTTTTGTTAACCTTTTCACTGATATAGACATGTTTAGACGGCTTTTTAACCTCCCCCTTTTTGGTTTAAACATATTTTTATTCAGATAATATATACATGTTAATAATTTACAATTTAAGCAGAAAGGAATTAACCTCCCCCTTTTTGAGGCCTCAAACAGTAAAAACATGCCCTATTTAGGCCCCAAACAGTGTTTTACGTTTGTGAAATGTTGTTAAAAAAGTGACCACTTTTTTCGGCTCCGGCCCACCCATATGTTAATCAGGGGGCTTGCAGAAGGGGGATGTGTCGCCTTTTGTTGGGGGGGGGGGGTGAAGGGGGCGGTAGTCCCCCTCATCGCCAAGAAAATTTTGGACATGTGACAGGCTCAAAATAGCCTCAGGTCGATCTTAGGGTAACTAGTAACCGGACACTGAAAAGCCTTTTACTTTATTTCAATTCGTTGAGAAGTTGCAGCACTTTGAAATCAGTTTTGATGGAAAAATACAATGCAAAATAGTGATTTTTGGCTATTTTGAGATGTTCCCTCGTTGCCATGGTAACAAGGAAATTTACGATTGAGCATGCTGTTACAGAGGTTATGGTCTAGTCAACATTTGTGCCAAGTTTCATCAGTATTGAAGAATTTTTCATAGTTTCATAGCAGTTTGAACTTGTTACAGGAGGCTTTTCAATGAAAACGGCCATTTTTCGCAATATGCTTCTAAGGTAAAAGGTTAATATAGAATTATATCTGTGATTTTTCGAAGGGAAATATATAAACTTTATATTAATTAAAATTGGAAATCGATATTGTAAACAATACTTACTTAGGAGACAAGTATAAGTATAAAGTAAAAAAGATTTTCGTAAAACCTGTTGATGAATTGAAGCACAGTTTTAAAGCTTTTCCGATGCTCGACTGTAGGTAAAGTTTGTATGTGTATTGTTTTCAAAAATAAATCTGCATAATTTGATATCATTTGTTTATTTAATGATATTTAACTGAATTTACTTGATATATAAATTAAAATGAAACATTTAAACAAACATATTTTTTTCTTATTGACATACTGACAAATTTGTTGAAGCTTAATCTTCTAGATAAGTTCATTTTATAGTCAATAGTCTGTAAATAACAAGCCATAAAACGATACTATTAAGTATACGCTATATTGGCTGAATAAGAGCAGAACAGACCTATGTGCGCTACTAACCTATTTGCCAAGCATATAATACAGGTTTACCAAGAATACTTGGCGCTTTTCAGTATTTCAACTTCTAGAGCGTAACTACATGACCACATAATTAAATCATTTTTGCTTATTTAAAAAAAAAAACAACAATAACAACAACAAACGCGTGAAGCAATATAACGAACTGCCATTGGATTATGTGTTTGTTGTCATATAGTTGGAATGGTACAAAGATATGACTGTAACTGTCGCTTCAGTAGTTCTTCTTTATATCGCGAATCAATTTTTGATTTAGCTTAAATAACATTTCTAATATAGTAAGAAATAGTCTTGATTATTAGTTCAATGTTTCCTACGTTACAACAACACTCCATTCAATATCATGTTGCATGATGAGCAGACAGAAATATGTCCGAGCTACAATTGTGAGGCGTGATCAATTTATAAAACATATGGCAATAACAAGTATATGTACTGATTTTCTATTTAAGTATTGTTTTATGGTAATATCATTCATGTATATACATTATTTCATTTGGTTGTAGACGGGTCATATACATGTACCGGCTACACGCCTTGCAAATATAGTTAAATCCTATTGCTTCTTCTATTTTATGTTTGTTTTTAAATATCATTTTGACTGTCCTTGGAGTCATTGTTCTATATTATACACCAATGAAATTCAAACATGTCTGCATTTCTTTATTTACAGATAAAACGTACAAGCCAACACGACAATCAATGAAAATATCATATTTCTATTTTTCTTAACTTCAAGTAGTACTTTGTAAATATTGCAATTGTTAAGTCGGGTATTTAATATGAGTGTAATTCATGTTATATATAATTTATATGTATATGATATTCACTGTGAGGGATCATCCTACATTTTTCTGTTATTAAGAATCATGCCTACGGTATCTTTAATAGCAACGAATGAGATTGTATAGAAAAAAGAAATTCTAAAAGATAATCAAAATCGTGTCTTCAAAGTTAATATATTCAATATTTATTTCTATGTTATGTTCCTTATTGACGTGGCAGAGACGAAACCAAGCAGAGGCAAAAATTGTAATAATGTATTTACAGTTTGAAATTACTATCCTTGAATACGAAACTTAATACTAATTCCCTCTCTAAATATTCTATAATAATTAGTTCCACCCATTAATTTCTTGTAAAGGACTCGCACGCTTACTTTAATAAAGAGTTTAC